ACAATAACTTGTTGTGCTATTCTCATTAGATTACTCACCAGTTAATGAAGCAAAAGCATGTCAGATATGCAGGTATTTCCATCACACTATACAAGAAGAAGCTCATATAGATATCGCCACCAAGGTGTTTAGTGTTCAAAGATAGACCATAATATACTAGAGTGTTGATAAACCTGGTGAAGCCAAACAAGAAAAATCATTTATTGGTATTCTCAGTGGGGAAAAATCATCATATAAAGCAGCTGGGAGCAAGCGTTGCTCATCAGTTGATTAATGTACTGTGACCTTCATAGCAAGATTCAATCGGTTCGAACCTTTAAGGGTCTCCATGTCTCCTTCTTAAGTCTATCTGTTCAGTGTTGCTTTAGCTTTAAATACCCGTAATAAGGAGCACTGATAGTCTGAGAGGGTGCAAACCGTCAAGCAGCTTTATACATAATACCCCTTTGCAGGACAGAATTGCATGGGCATACCACTCCCTTCAAAACAGGCTTTATTTATTGCAGTTGTGTGATATATACCTCACAGCCAGCCGACAACAGCAACTTAGCATAATCCCATGCTTCCATAGCTACTTACATAAAAGTGTTTGCATAAATGATGCAACTGACATATTTCCATGGCAACATTATTCAGCGCAGTATGCTCATATTTCCATAAATTACGTACCATAAGAATATCAGAACRAAAGTTGTTTTGAAAGTCTTCCGCGTGCAGAAGAGATCAAGACACCCATATCTTGTGCCAATGTGGAATGGTCTGTTGACCTGAATAAGACTTTTCGGAATTGCTATTCCATTCTTTAATGCAATATCTAGTAAGATATCCTCGGCTTCTGATACTCTTCCTCTTATCATCAGCCACCGAGCAGACTCTGGTACATATCTAATACAAAACAAAAAAGAATATACAAAAAACAAAATTCAAATGGTCAATTTTTTAATATTCAATATTTTGATACTTTTATGGGAAAACAGGGGATTGAAATGGTTTTACAAAGGTGGATAGAAGAGAGAATCAGAATAATCTGTTTTAGTTTTTGGTAAATGAATGAAAAAAATATGAGGGAGGGAGGGAGGGAGGGAGGGAGKGAGKGAGTGAGTGAGTGAGTGAATGTGAAAAATGTAAACTATAAAAATAAAAGAAGTGAGGATTGTTGGATGAGACAGTGAGTGAATGGGCATGGATGGATGGATGAATGATGGGCTGGGATGGATGAATGATGGGCTGGGATGGATGAATGATGGGCTGGGAAGGATAGATGGATGGAAGGTTCTATAGTTGATTGGTGAGGGAGGGGATGAATGGAGTGGAGAGGGAGGGAGGGAACATAGAAGAATGATTCATATATGGTAAACAATTGAATGTAAGGAAGAATGAAGGAATAAATGAATGATTTAAAAAAGGAATGAAATAATTTGATGAATGAATTAATGAATAGATAAATGCCTAAATATTTAATGAATGGAGGAAGGAGGAAAGAAAGGAATGAATGAATGAATCATATTGAATCAAACAAAGGAACACACAAACAAACAAACAAGCAAAAATTAAATGGATGAATGAAAGAAAGAAGGAAGGAAGGAAGGAARGAAGGTATGAATGAAAGAACAAAACAATGAAGGAATAAATGAAGGAAAGAAGGAATAAATGGGAAGGACTTCGTCTTATCTTTGACATATCCACATGGCTAATATATTTTTCCACACATTTGCTTACCTGAAGAAAAGCACAAAAACAGTAGCTGGAAGAGAAAGCACTACCGACAGTGTCCTCCATTCTCTTATAAGGTAAGCCACAATTGGTAATATCAAAAGTCCTGATGTAAAAAAACACTGAGCCATTGTCCCAGCAAAACCTCTATAAGTTGGTCCAATAATTTCTGTTGCAAGCACGAAAGCCGTCAATATCTCACCACCAGCGCACATTCCAGTGAGAAATCTCAATAAACAATAAATTTTGTAAGTCRGTGAAAAAGAGCTAGCAAATCCAAAAGTGACCAGTCCTGATAATGTAATGTACCAGATTTTGCGTCTCCCATATTTGTCTGCAAGGGCACCAAATAACATTGCTCCTGCAAGTGTGCCTCCCATGACTATAGACTGAACAAGGTCTGCTTTGAATGCATCTTCACAAGTAAGGTCCCACTGAAAGAAAAGCATATATCATTAATATATCTACTAGCTTGATGCTATTTTCATAAACACTGCAAACTCTATAGTTGCAATTTGCCCATTGCAATTTGGTTTCACTGCCGCCAGTCAAAAATATTAAAGGTATACTGATCATTTTTGATTGTTGATGGCAGTGGAAAACAAAATATAAGCCTGCAGCTCTCAGATATAATGGAATGTGATTCAAAAATATGGATTGTTTATATTTATGATTCTAAGGAACAGTACAGCTCATGTATTCACCTCTTACTGCGATTCTCAATATTCTCACATGCGACAAACTTAAAAGGACCTCATCAAAAACTAAAAATGGTGTTTTGCGGAGGTCAATAAAAAGGGYATCTAATATGATAATCAAGCCACCAACTACACCTCACACAACACCTGTAATCGTGCTGCAAACACCGTTTAGTGCCCTTATCTCATGCTTCTTGTTGCTGTGGATTTCTTTCTCTGGATATAAATTTTCCCATAAAATGTCACAGATTTTCAGCTTTGAATCTCAAACGCTTCACTTCAAAGCTATTGGTAATRACTTATAAAATGATTTGAGTATCTTCAAGATCAGGTAAGTCAATACAGATAGCGCTGATGCAGTCAAGCATTTGAAATTTGGAGTTGGAATCCTATGAAATTTTCAAGAAACCCTTTTGATTGACRTCAAATAAAACTCAAGTTGGTCAAGTTGGTCGCGTATGACTGGGAATCGCAGCAAAAAATCGTTTCGTGAAGATTATGACTGATTTTCAGAAAATATACAGCAATATTCAGGCGTTAAATATTACAGTTACCTTGACAACGAAAGTGTCTTTCACTAATTTGAATCCAATCAAAATGAAGATCTTTAGTTATTCATTCTTATTGAGTTTATATCACAAAAGTTTGAAAGAATCTGTTTGGAGATTATAAATCTATGGAATTTTAAGGGAAAATATTAATTTGTATTTGTTGAATAAGGATATACTATTCTTTTGAAAATATTTTCATGTTTTCATCMAAATTATTTTATTCACCTGATTTGAACTACTTTTGCATATATTTACATAATCTAAATTATGAAAACCAAAAATATTTTATCGGCAGAAAATATAACCGAAATAGATTAAAATTTATAGCAATATTAGTTCCTTTTAGCTACGCTTTCACCGTTCGAGTATTACATCATTGTAACGTAGACGGAATAAATCAGTCCACGTTTTGTGAGTTATAATTATGATAAAAAGCTAATTTAGCTTTTCGTATTTTTAAAATAAATCATCGCTAAACAAATCCAGTTAGAGAATTTGAATAAAGTATTCAACTTGACGTGAATATAATAATGATAGTAAAATAATAACAGACATAACTTTTTGATTTTAGGTCATTACAGAGTCATATGTCAGTAGATCGGGCAGCGAGCGTGCAAAATTTAATCTTAAAATCTTATTATGTTAACCAATACCTCAGTCACAATGGATGTGAATTTTGTAGTATATTGCCTCTCTAAGCAGTGAGATCTGTTCTTCGGACATGTGCTATTCGAAGGAGAATCCAGGCAGATCCAGGATGGTTGAGCGGCCACAAACACATGCAATAGAAGTTGTATTGAAGCAGGAACGATTGAAAAACAGAGTAAAAAATATAATCGCTTCTGATGTGGGCCGAATTCACCAACGATCTTTAAAACGTGGTCGAATTCCATGTTAAGGGGTAGGGATCGCGGGCTTTCCTGTAGTGGAAGCCCTTGTGAGGAGAGATTTACATTCTTTTGTTGGGATTCGCGATGAGTTGTTCTTTTTGATGGCAATAAAAACAGGTGTAATGCTGAGGTGCCTGGCCTGAGGGGTGACCGAGGACGGCGGGAGGGACTGGACCAATGGATTTCATAGAAGAAAGGAAGGAAGGAAGGAAGGAAGGAAGGAAGGAAGGAAGGAAGGAAGAAAGAAAGCCAAAAAATGGAATAAATAACTTTAACTAGAAACGATTAAATGGCATGCGTTTAATAACAATATTTAGAACAACAATCTTCTGCTAAAATAATGTGCCACCCCCAAAGTTAATTCAGTACGAAACAATTGTAATTCCTCGATAGTTTTATTCAGTATTCTTTTATTATTCGTATGACAACGATTTCTTTTTTATTCGTATTACATACTCTTGCTTTATATTACTTTAACATCCATAACATGGTCCTGGATAAATAACATTGGGTTTACTGCTGTTTTTATTTATCTGTAACAACAATATCCAAGCTTAGCGAATACCCCTGGGAATATACAACCTCCTGTATAGCCATATCCATCAGGACAGCTGACCTTCATGAACCAGAATGTTCCCTGCCGATCATTTTTAGCACATTCGCAGGGCGATCTTTTCTCTTCTGTAAAAAAAAAAAGGTGAATGGTTAAAAACCGTTCATCACAAAGAGAAATTTTCGATCAAAACTTCTTGTTAACAAGACCCTGTTGGCTGGGTGGACTGGGATACCTGAATAACTCAATCTGGAACTCCAAATTCCAGTTCCGGGATCCAGATTTTGGCATACGTAATTAGCTTGTTGTACAGCCCCGTTTCAAAAGCATGCACATTCGCACGGCTCGCTTTAAAATCAAAATGCTTCCTTTAAAACGTAAATACAGGCTAATATTTGCTCAAAACCTCTCTCTTAATTGCTTTACATTTTATAATTTTTGAAGAAAAATTGAAGGAGATCATAACGCTTCGAACGGTAAAGACTGATTAAACTATGCTAGTCCAAACGTGACAAAACTTCAAGTTGCATTTTTTCATGATCAAGCAGTACTTTTTATACATCAAGTTGATTTTCATTACACCAAGACCCTTGT